TCTTTGACATTATACTCTATATAAAATTTCCTAATAAAATGATGTAGACTATATTGAAAAATGTGTCGTGCAAAAATAATAAACGATAATGAAATAATTGATTTTTTTTTAAAAGAGACGAGTTAGTTGTCTCTTTTTAGTACGTACGTTTGACACGTTTAATTCAATTTTCATTTGAACCATTCGATATGGCTATTATGTAGTCTCAAAATGAATTTCTAGATGATGTAGACGATTTATGGATTCAAATAGCGTACGATTGTCGACGAATTTTTAAAGTTAGCATATTTCAAAATTTTCGAAATATTAGTTTAACACGACCTACTTTAATGCGTCATGACTCTTGCCACGATTGACCGTTTCAGGGGCCATTAAGGAGCAAAAAAAATATGCTCTGAACACTCCAAAAATGATATTAAGAACACAATGTTTCGACTTTGTTCGACATCTTGTAATGAGGACATCAAAATGGACTGCAAAGAGCAATTGCTTATTTTTTCACATAATATATAAATTTGAGAAAAGCAGTATCTTGGGGTAAAAACAACTACAATTTTTTGGAAAAAAATAAAAATAAAAATAAAAATATTTTGTAGGTCAAGCGACCACATATGAGCCCGCCTCTATTAGTGGTGCTTAGTATTCGTCTAGGTGATAGTGAAGACTTAAAAATTTAGTTCTCAAGAGCCATGTGGTCCGACTCAATTCTAGTGGAATCACCAAAAATTAGTATAGTCAAAAACAAAAATAAAAAATCTATCACAGACCTAGTTACAATCAATGACAGAATTCGAATTATTCATTATTTTACATTATGCCAAGCAATTGGTTCAAATTCATCCACCATGTGCGGCGATTCCTCATGCTCCAAAAGTGACTTAGCCGCCACTAATATTTTACATGCATAAAACAAAAAATGTTAAGATGTGCATGTAAAATATGTTGAACATATAATTAATTTCTGTCAACTAGGTTTGTGTCACGCCATCCAATTACAAAAATCACGTGTACACGTATTTCTTAAGCAAGGATCACATATTAAATATATAAATATAAATAAATAAATAAATTCTTTGACCTCGACAAAAGATGTTAGCGTAACCGGGGAGATTTGGTGAATAATAAAGAGAGAACCTTACAGGATGAGTTATTGGCGAAAGCAAGAATTTGTCAATAATCTCAAATAAATTAGCAAGTTGCATGTTATCAAAAAATTTGAAAAAAAAAAAAAAAAAGGAAAAATGTTGGCAAGTTCCATTATTTCTCCTCACATGTTGCTGAACCCGTCCCCAGAAAATGCCCTAGGGAATAATTTCATAGATCTTCTACAAGACAATCACATGGGGTGAGGACGGGTCCCACCGTTGTGTGTATTCTGTAAAATATCTGTATAATTCTTTTGGTAAATGTAGTACTGTTCACCACTCTCCCACCCCACCCCCAACCAAACCCTATTCCCAAATTACGTGTTGAAACATTTACAAACATTTAAGTTGAAAAGTCAATCGCTACAAGCTAGTTAATAAGAATAAGAACATCTCAATTTTCAAGAGGCTTATTTTCTCTCTTTTCCATAGCGTGTCTGTCGAAGTTTCCTCGAAATATGATCCTTCCAACCCCTCCAAGTTACCTCCTTAAAAAAAACAAAAAACAAAAAAATACAGTCATCTATATATAGGCTATAGCAGTTGTTAAATCTCTTCACATACTTTTCTGACGAACTCTCACATATTTATATTAGTTTCTACAAGCCTTTGTTCATATATTTTTCCATTCTGGTGTAATTTGGAGGCATAAATCCTATCTACTGACTCCAAGGTTCGACAAAGAATATTTTTTACATCGGTTTTTGAAGTTCCGAGCAGGGAATATTGTAAATCAACAGATCATTTCATTGAGTAATTGTGTCAATGGCAAGATTTCTTTTGACCATTTCAAGATTTTACACTTCGACTAGAAGCCTCCCTGTCAATCCATGTAGTATGTTTCAAACTTTTTCTAGCTCCAACTCTATATTAAATAAGAATCCAGGCCTTTTCTTGAGTAGGCAGAGCTTGGGATACCGGTATCTCAGCAACTTTTCTGGAATGGACAAGGAAAACAGCAATAAAAGGTATATATCTGTTCTCGTAAAATGAGTGATGGCGAGACATGATAAGAGCATTCCAACATCTCTAACAGGCATATTTAAATGTTGGTAACATCTAATATGTTGATTTGTTCCAGGAATTTTGTTGTCTACAACAGTGTTCCTGGAGCTCCATTGCCCTCTCAGCCTCCTTCAAATTCCTTGTAATTCATAGTTTCATTTCTTGCATAATTGTTGTACAGTACTCAACAGTTGTGCAGTATAATTGACAATATTTTAAAATTCTTCTTTGGTTAATATTGTGTATGTATTTAGCTAACTCAACTACATGAATTTATTCAGGAGAAAGTGGATTCTGGGAATTGTAGTTGCAATATTTTTACCCTTTGCGACCAACAAATGGGGACCATTGTTGATATTCAAAAGTAAGGGAAATTAATTCTCTAATTCTCATGAATCTTGTTACCAAAATAAAAAAAAAATAAAATCCCTTAATTAGTGCCTGTAAAAAATAATCACATTTTTAAAATTTAAAAATTGTGCAGATGAAGTTGATACGGCCATGGAGACAATAGAACAGATAACAGAAGTTGTAGAAAAGACGGCCGAGGTGGTGGATAAAGTGGCGGAGAACATTGCTGATCACCTTCCGGAAGGAGGAAAATTTAGGAAAACAGTTGATTTTATTGAAAATGTGGCTGAAACAACAGCTAAGGATGCTCATTTAGTTGAAGATATCATTGATAAGGTATACCTAATTAATTTTTATTAAAATATAATGAAGTTTAGGCGTTTGACAAATCTTTAACTAAACTTACTATTCATAATCTGACCAAATCATTAGTTTAATTAAAAAGAAAAGAGAGTTGATTAATGGAACCTTATGTAATAATAAAGAATGACTTACCTTTTTTAATTCTTGAAGAAAATATTAGTTAATTCTCTTCTTACAGCTTTAACTTTTTATGATTTGTTCCAATCCTAGGAGCTGTTATGGGCGACCCAAAAGTACCCCTTTTTTTCACATGGATGTGACATATAAAATTCAAGTTACGTGGATATAGATTTAATTTTTTTTTTTTGTTGATTAAATTTTTAAATTTTTTATTTTTTGCATTTTTGGTCCTCGAGTTCAACCAAACAGAGCCACCTCTAGGAGATGATGGGGTCAGTCCATGGATTTTCGTTCCTCTTTTGCCGCATTTCGCTCAAAGGATAAAGAAAGATCTTGTTGTTTCTTTAACAATTTTTGATCTCTAGTGGACCTCTCAGTAGGATTCGAACCCTTTTATCCATCTCATGAAAAAAAAAAGGGATTTCTTTCTTCTTTTCTATGATCTATCTATTCATTCACTCTATAAACTTATTTGAGCGTAAATGATTTCCTCTTCTTACATGTGATATATAATACACATCCAAAATATGTGCAATGACTATTCAAGATCCCTTTATAGCTTAATATTAGATAATAATCGACATGTAAGGATTTAGATTAATTTTTCTAAAATAAATGACTTTTCAAGATAGGCCCTCACGACTTATAGTTTAATAAGCTCAAATTAGTCACCATATTGTGATATCACGTTGCTGAAATTACTAATTGTTAAAGTGTAATTTTAGGTTCAGGGAGTTGAAGAAGATGTGGAGTCCATTGTTGAATCTCTCAATGGTGAAGCCGACAAGCCTTCCAGAGAAATTAAGGATAAAAAATGATTATCGAAATTGTAAAATAATGTGAAGGGCGAAAAGTGTATAATATAAATATTTCTTATTGTTTTTAGTTAAATTAACTTTATAGTTTGGGAGGGAGTTGGGGTTCTTGAATTTATCATTTTATCAATTTTGTATTAATATTTTTGCAGGAACTGCAATATTGTAATGTTGAATACAAATTTCCATATAATAATTAATGTAGAAGTACTTCTCAATTTCATTTTTTCCAACATAATTAATTCCCAACTGTAAGCATGAAATGACTAGGTACAGAAAATAAAAACCAAATATGTATAAATTAAATCATATTCGTTAACTATAACATAATTCAAGTATAATGAACATAAAAACTATATAGAAAAGTTCTTTGTATATACCGTTTTTGTAGCGACCAAAAATTTTCATATATTAAAACGATAGTTTTTTCCCAAACTTTTTTATAAGAAAGAAATTCGTGTCGCTACAAGTTTTTCCTAAATTTATGTGCTTTAAGTGGTCATGTAATTAAGTACGTTAACTTAATCTACTCTATGTTAATTATGTGTTTGCCTTTGAAATATTTTGTGACAAATTATAGTAAGTATAAATTATGTTTTGTCGCTTAATCTTATTAGACATAGCATTCACATAAGTCGTGATTTAGTTAAGATTTATAGTTTCTATAAAATGCACAATANGTAGAATCAACAATCTAGACACGTTTGTCCACTTTATTACTTTTACACGATTTGTGCGATTGTTGTACACATTTTTTAATGAACAACATGTCGACGTCATTTTTATAAGTCGAGTGGCCAAAATTCAATAATTTCAAAGTTCAATGAGCAACCGAAGATATTTTCTAAAGTTTAATAAGCAATTTAAGATGTTTTTCAAATATTAGTGAACAATCGAAGGCGTGATATTTTGTTAACAATATGACGTTGCGTCATATGTGCATTCCATTAGCCACGTTATTAATTTTGTTAAAGATTTGAAATAGATGTTAAGCTAGTGAGTAATGTTCAATATTTGAATAATTTTAGTGGTCAAAACTAGACATTTTAAATTTCAGTGAACAATTGAAGACATATATAAGTTCGGTGATCAATGAGACAATTAACTCTATTTTTGGACTTTAATTGGGCCGTATTTAGCCCAATAATAGGAAGAGGCTGGACTGGAAAAAAGTCCAATTTTATATACTTCCTCTTTTACTCGTTTTGATTGAAAAACCTCTCCTTAAACCTAGAAAGGGCGACCACCTCCGCCACCGTACAGGCAGGGTACTAATGGCGCAGGGAAGTAACATACTGGCAAGCTCGATATCTGAGTTACAGAAGAAGCAAAAGCAAGCTAAGAAATCAAAATCCGGCGGCTTCGAGTCGCTGGGCCTTAGTCCCAATGTCTTCAGGGGAGTCAAAAAGAAGGGCTACAAAGTTCCGACACCAATACAGAGGAAGACGATGCCCATAATACTTTCTGGAAGCGATGTTGTGGCTATGGCCCGAACTGGGTCGGGGAAAACGGCGGCGTTTCTAGTCCCTATGCTTCAGAAGCTGCAGCAGCATGTTCCACAGGCTGGCGTCCGAGCCCTCATTCTCTCTCCGACACGTGACTTAGCTGTCCAGACTTTAAAGTTTACCAAAGAACTCGGCCGCTTCACAGGTACGCCATTTTCGTATGTTTGAGTTTCGATATTGTGTTAGAAAATGTACATGGGTTTGTATATGTGTTTAAGTTATTTTCTTTGAAATTTGTGAAAGGAGTGTAGAATTATGAAAAGTTTGAACTTTTGATATTGTGTGAACGTGTTAATGTAATCACTTATTCTTTTGGTTTTATATGCAGTCTGTAACTGGAATGTTTTAAAATATATTAATATCAAAGTGTGAGAAGATCGAATTTTTTAGTATAAGTAGATGTTTTTTGATTTTTGGGTATGTCTACATGAATTTGTAATGGGCAATCTCTGTCATTTGTGGGTTGTTACAGTAAGTGTATTGAAGCCCAGCAAGGAGGACAAATATAGATTTGTGCCTTTTGAATTGAGTCTTAAAGTTTAACTTTCCTTTGTTTTAATGTACACGGAGGAAAGTACAAGCAGTATAGTGCACAGTAGAATGTTATTTATCTATGCTGTAAATATTTAGTCTTTTTCATGGGTGGGATTCGGTTAGAAGTGTAAAAGGTTCATCATTTAATTGAAATATAGAAAATTACTATATGATGTTTAAAGGATTTCAATTTTGGGATTTTTGGTTTATATTTATTTATATTTACTGGTGGGCTGTGGGCTATCTGTTTAGTTTAGTGCAAATTGTTATGTTTTCTGGACCGTTGGACATAGTAATCTATTTATCTCAACCAGGATAAACAAGTAATTTCTTTGTTTTTGAGGATAATCTAAGGAAGATTCAAAATTAAAACAACCAAATTTTATATGAGGTGACTAGATTGTCCTTCAATTCCACTTCCTTTCTTGAAAAACAATTCAGGATCGAAATGTTTTGCAGTTAAGTAATTAACATGCTACCATGATTCTGCAATTCAAACTAACAAGGAGTTTTGCCAAAACCGGAGCCCAACCTCCCACTATAGCTCTCCAAAAATAAAAGCGAAATGGTTTTAGTTGTGCAGTGTAGTTAAATTGGTGAAATGACAATATGCAGGTTCTCCCTACCCTTCATTAAATACCTTAAGTTTCGGTGACTCTACAAATTGAGAAATATATGATGTTGGAGAGATCGCCTGTTGGGTGGAGAACCTTTTCTTGAGTTACTTTTTTTGACTGATTTGTATAGACTGTCAACAGATTCAACACTAAAGCTTCAAAAGCTTTTCATTAATACCTTAATACTCCTGAGTCCTGATTTGAATGTGGCCAATTTTGAAGGTGGGTTTTAAATCATTATTCCCAATACCTCGGCATTTGCATTGAGATGCTTCCACTTCAGTGATAAGTGAATAATTTTTTATTTTTATTTTTTCATTTCCTTTGCTATATTGTTATCAAACTTTATTTGCTTTTCTTTGCAGATCTTCGTATTAGTTTACTAGTTGGTGGTGATAGTATGGAAAACCAATTCGAAGAATTGGCACAGAATCCTGATATTATAATTGCTACTCCTGGTAGGCTCATGCACCATTTGGCAGAGGTTGATGACATGTCACTGCGCACTGTGGAGTATGTAGTTTTTGATGAAGCTGATTGCCTCTTCAGCATGGGTTTTGCAGAGCAGTTGCATAAAATTCTTTCACAGCTGAGCGAAAATCGTCAGACATTGCTTTTCAGCGCAACCTTACCAAGTGCCCTCGCTGAGTTTGCCAAGGCTGGTCTTCGGGATCCTCAACTTGTACGACTTGATTTGGAGACAAAAATTAGCCCTGACTTGAAGCTTGCCTTCTTCACTGTAAGGCAGGAGGAAAAATATGCTGCATTATTGTATTTGACAAGGGAACATATCGGTTCTGAACAGCAGACATTAATTTTTGTTTCTACAAAATATCATGTTGAATTTCTTAATGTTCTCTTTAGAGAAGACGGCATTGAGCCTTCTGTTTGCTATGGGGATATGGATCAAGATGCACGTAAGATCCATATATCAAGATTTCGGTCAAGAAAGACTATGCTGCTGATAGTGACGGATGTTGCTGCTAGGGGAATTGACATACCTTTGCTTGATAATGTAGTCAACTTTGACTTCCCTCCTAAGCCTAAACTTTTTGTCCATCGCGTAGGGCGAGCTGCCAGGGCTGGTCGTGTGGGAACTGCCTTTTCTTTGGTCACATCTGAAGATATGCCTTTCCTATTGGATCTTCATCTCTTTCTCTCGAAACCAATTAGGCCTGCTCCCACTGAGGAAGATGTTCTAAAAGATATGGATGGTGTCATGTCTGAAATAGACCAAGCTGTTGCTAATGGGGAAACTGTTTATGGGCGTTTTCCACAGCCAATTATAGATCTATATTCTGACAGAGTTCGAGAAATCATCGATTCATCTACAGATCTGACTGCTATGCAGATACCCTGTACAAGGGCATTTCGCCTGTATTCAAAGACAAAACCAAAACCATCTAAGGAATCTATTCAGAGAGTAAAAGGATTACACTGTGAAGGGTTGCATCCAATGTTTAAAAATGTTCTAGGCGGGAGTGAATTAACAGCCATGGCCTTCTCTGAACGCCTGAAAGCATTTAGGTAACTTCTAAATTTCAATTTCAGATTTGATGCCTTCGAGCATTAAAAGCTTATCGAGATTTCTAGTCCTTTAAACCTTTGCACAATTTTTATTTAACAGACCCAAGCAAACCATTTTGGAGGCCGAAGGTGAGGCGGCTAAGTCAAAACATCGGAAGGCAATACTCATTTTTCTTTTTACAGTTTGATACTCTTAACATCAAGAATTGCATTTTTTTTCTCATTCTATACAATTTTTTTTTGGGTCAACTGTGAAAATGAAGTGAATTTCAGGGTTCTTCGAGTCAATGGGTTGATGTGATGAAGATGAAAAGAGCTATTCATGAGGTGGTGATCAATAAAGTGCATCAGCAGCGCTCTACGGATCATGCCACTAAGGTAAATCCTCCAATAAAGTATTTGTTGTTTTATAATTGTTGTGCTAGGGGTATTCGGGAGTGACTGACCAAATTGGCATCTTATTTTGATTCTTATCACAACTATGCATTCACCTGACATTCTTAACCTTAAAAGAATTCCATAATTAATGCAGGACTTTTGGGCCTCTGCATGAGAAGGATTAGAACCTGAGATATACCGATAGTGGAATAGTATTCCTGAGAAAGCACAATAGTGTTGCTTGTTGGAAATGGGGTGTCCAAAGTAATAGCAAAAATGTGAATTGCTATATAAATGATTGAAAGTTGATTCCAATAAGAAATTGTCAAATCAAATATCAGTCACTTCAGGCGCTTACTTCAAATGTGTTGACCATTGTTCAGATCACGATTTGAGATGTGTTTGTATCAGCCTTTTCAACCCTTAAGAGTCTTCATTTTAAGAATTAGATTCTGAACTTTGATTTAATTCATTATGGCTCTTTGAAACCTGAAATTGTGCCACTATCATTTTTAATCACACATTTCATTCCTCCCACAATTTATCCAACTTTTTAACCACACATTTCATGGGACCCAATTTTTATCAACTTTATTCTACACAGGCCATAAGCTGGGAAGAGGAGATATATACTAGACCTGCATTTTTCCAATGATTGGATATTGACAAGCCTCCATCCCCACACCACTCCCAGTTTCTGGGGCACGTCCTTCAAATGTTTGATTTAGTTTGCAAAATATGATGGATTTGTGCTGTATATGTATAGCTTATGATTGGAATTTAATTTGCTAGGTTATAATCCATTTTTCCCTGTTTAGATTCATCAATTTCAGTTGAACCTTAATCTTACCCTGCACCTTTGCTTTTATGTTAAGCATAATTTACGGTTCTTGGATGTTATCTCTAGGTTCAATTAGCTCATCTCTTTGCTCATGCAGGAAGTTGAACCAGAAGACAATACTACGAAGAACAAGCAGAAACAAGGTGTTTGTGATCACTCTTTGTTTTTCATCTTTTATTCACCTTAAGTACGTTACATTTTTAAGCTAGAGGCAAGTAATAATAATTTGACCTTAGAAGCATATTTAGGCTATGGGGTTTCTGATAGAGCTGTCACTGTAGACTCTAGACTCTTTGAAGTAAACAAAATATTGAGAATTCTGTTGCTGCATCCATACAATTTAGTATAAATTCTCGAGGAGACCCTTTTACATTGGATATCAGGTCTCAAGGCAGTAATTCCATGAGAAATAGGACATATATTAAGTGATATTTTTGTTTATCTAATCCTTTTGGCAGATAGTGAATTATCTGATCTGCTTAGTCGTTTTAAATACATATTCGAATTGATCTAAGCAGTTTCTGGCTTCAAGAGGAAGGGAGATAGCTTCAAAGATGAGGAGTACTTCATAAGTTCAGTGCCCACGAATCAGGTGAATTGCTTCTCTTTGCACGCTTCTTTACCATTCAAGATGTACCTGATTAAGATAAAATCTAGTCCTAACTGCCACTTTCTCATATCACAGTTCTACTACATCTGTTCAATTCTTAAAATCTGATTTTTCTGGTATCAAGCATAACTCCTGGGCTCATTGTGTCGATTTCAGCATTTTGAAGCCGGGCTTTCTGTTGGTGCTAACCAAGGCTTTGAATCAAATAGGTATGTGAATCTTGATTGCCTCTTACAATATGGTATTTTAAAAANGGAATTAGTAAGAGTAAATTGAATAGTCAAGTATGTAAAACCGGTCATTATTTTATGTGAATCATTCTTTAGATCTGTAGTTGTAAACTTAAACTGTGATATGGAGAGGATATTTACATATTTTAATGAATAGGTTGGATGCTGCTGTTCTTGATCTAAATGCCGATGATGGTGGTGGGTTACAGAAGCAAAAATCTTCCTTTCACTGGGATAAGGTACTGAATCCATTCACCCCAACCCCCGGAAAAAAATGAAAGGGAAAAGAAATTCCGATCAGTCTGTATGTTGTGATGTAACATTTAATCTTCCTATGGTGACTTGGCAACAGAGGAGCAAAAAGTATGTCAAGCTAAACAGCGGTGACCGTGTGACAGCAAGTGGGAAGGTATTTTCCTTGGCACGTGTACTTCCGACACATGAATGATGCATATCCCCTACCTAAAAAATGAGAAAATTTTCATGACATACCCTCTTTCTGAAAAACCAATTCAAGTTAAGGCTCAACGGCCTCTATGAACCGGAGGTGGTATATTGGATCAGATAAATTGCATTTATTTGCATAAAATCTTTCTAGAAAGCATTTAACGCTTGGAATGATGAGATAACTAAATTTTTAATTATATTCTAATAATTTTGATTCTTATGCTCTCTAATCTTATAAAAAGAAACTTGGCACCTCATAATTTCATATAAGGGTACCAGTTTGATTGTGGACTCTGTGACTTGAGCTTTGAACTAGTAAATAATTGAGATTTCTAATTCAATTTAGATATGATTTTACTGCGATTATACTATGTTGACTAGATTCCAAGGTCTGTTACTGGATCCATCCATTGCTTTGTAACTTTCCTGTGTTATGATATACATATCATACTGAATTATCTATATATAATATAATCTTGTTCATATTGTTTTTCTGGAGTTTTCCTCACATGGGCGGACTATTAAATTTCAGAAATTTCTTTTTTTCCAATACGGAGATATCTTTAGCCTGTCTATTCTTGAATGATAGAATTCTACAATTTCATTTTTTCCAATAAGAACACTATTTTCTCGGTTTCGCGCATGTATTACTCAATTCCTTAAATTTGTTTCTGCAAACAATTGAGAGGTCTTCTATTACTACATGCAAAAAAAGAAGAAAAGGAAGCTTGTTTTTCTTTGCTTAATTTACCATTAGATTTTCTGAGGCTTTTTTGTGAAACTCACTGGCATTCAGATAAAAAATGAAAGTGGTGTGAAATTGAAAGCTAACAAAACTGGGATTTACAAGAAGTGGAAAGAACGATCACACAAGCATGTATCACTTAAAGGAAGAAGTAACGAAAGCACTGAAGAATCTACTCATTCTACAGGTAAGCTTTAGGTTCAAGCTACTGCATTGTATTTCTACAGGAAATGACACTAGTCCTGTAATATACAACAATAATTAGCCAAGCCCCGCTCCTAATACACCAGAAATGGCTACACTGGCCTTTTCACCATTTTGTTCAATTCAGAACTACCTCTTGATGTAACGAATTCAGTATGTTGCAATCACACCATGCCATCTTATTTCTATGTTATTTTCTTTCAGTGGCTGCTTTGCTTGTGCCTTCTCATTGCACTTGACACTTGGATTTTATTTCATTTTCATTTTTTGTTTCCTCGTGCAACATGGTTGGAATTTATAAGGTTTTTCATCTTTTGGAAATGAATTCTTGGGGATTTTCCTTACATGTTTCCATAACAATTTTTAATTTATTTAGAATTGCTAAAGTGCACGTTAAACTGACTAGTTTATGGAAATGTTACCTGAATATTTCTCTTATCCGTTACATGTGTTGATTTGCCTTCACCGAGAAAAGTATATGAACGATGGGATGAATTTTTACACTTATCTTTAAACTTTTCTTTTCACAGGTCGTGGTGGATTACGAGGGGATAACAGAAGATTTAAAGGTGGAAAGAATAGGTCAGTACCAAATGCTCACGTGCGTTCAGAAATCAAAGATCTCGATCAAGTTAGGAAGGCAAGGCAAAAGAAAGCAGAGCGGGTTTCTCATCTGAAGAACAGCAAATCAAAGAAGGGGAAGAAGTCAGGTAAAAGGGGTAATCGAGGAAAGTCGAAATAGGGTTCAACAACTTATCTGATCGTCGGTCATATGAATCCAATGAAGCATTCCAAATACTTGACTGGCCTATGTTTTGAGATATCAGTGGAGATGAGTATGGTATGCCTGTTGTGGCAGTCTTAAGTAAGATATATTAGAGAATATTGAACGGTGTCAAGAGAAAGAAGATTAACTTGTCCATTGTCGTCTGCTCATTTTCAGTACTGTATACCAAATATGACCTTCATGTCTTCTTTCTCCCAAATATAGCTTCAGTATTTTTCGATAATGTTGGCAACTCTTAGTTATTGAAAATATACATTGGAATTTAACATGGGGCATACTAAGATTCTTGATTCAATTTATGTAGTTTGTAAGTGTTGTTTTTTCAATGATGTATAAATCATTATTTTCCGACTTGATCTAGATTTTCTTCAGTAATATTTTGGGAAATACATCTTTTAAATCCTACGAATTTCGAATTTTATTCTTGAATTGCGATATGAATACCTGATGAATAAACTAGAATTTAAATGTTGAGCAAGTTGAGCAAGTTGCATCTTAAATGTTTTACATTTTAGCCGTCTTCAACATAAACTAGAATTTAAAAATGACATAAAAATATTTTTTTTTCTATTTTCCTTTTGGTATGATTTCTCAACAAAATTTTTGATCAAAATTATTGTGTTTTTATTTTAATTTTATTGAATTTGGGAACAACAATTTGTCATTTGTTAAACATTGGTCCAACGTGCATGTGTACGTATGTCTAGCTTGCTGGCCATATGCACGGAAGGCTGGCTCGAGGGCGACTGAGCCTTGCCATGAGAACTCTTGGGCTCAACACGGGCGGCACATATCAACCGATTGAATTTTGTAACAAATCTAGCAGTAAATTGAATTGTGTAAAATGATTTTTTTAGCTAATTATCTTATTCTTTCTTTTGAATACAGTAAGGAATACAGAAAGATTGTTGACCTTACAGAACACACAAGACGATCAACGCCTCAAAGTGACAGTTTATGATACTGTTTTCTTCCGCGGAAATGGCTTTCAGATACCAATATTTTAATGCAAATTCAGAACTAGAAAGCCTTTTTATTCTCTTGGGGGTCTCACCTTCTCCACGCACACGAACTTTCTTTTCTCCTCTTTTCTCTCTTTCAGGTGTACACTTTCTTGGAGTTGTTTAGCACAAACTCAGAGAGTCAAGTAGGGCTCTTAAAAAGTTGGAAAGTTATACAGGAACGGTGAAAGAAACTGAATATTATGATATTCTTGGAGTTAAGTCTTCTGCATCTGAGGAAATTCGCAAGGCTTATTATCTCAAGGTTTGGATTTACCTGTTGGAAAACCTTTTATGGATATTATTCTTTTTTTATAAGTAATGTATTTACATATACTTTTTAATTGTCTCTATATCTGGTATAGGATTAGACCTAATGCATGGATAAAAAAATAAAAAATAAACGAGTCGTGTACTCGACTATTAATTTATTGGAGCCAGCAGGCTTAAGTTGCCAGTAATATGATCACAAGAAAGTTTCCAGGAATTGGTTTTCTTTTTGGGGTTTCTATATTTTTATTGAAACTTTAGCAAACATATTTAAGGAAAGGGTGATTCAATAATTCCATAATTTTTTTTTCCCTTTCCTGTGGGAGATTAGGACTGTTTAACTATCCATTTTTTGGGTCATATGTGAAACTATGGTGTATGGTTTAATCACCTTCTGTTTCCATTTGGAATTTTCAATGTATGATTTTCAAACTAGGATGGAAAATTTCTGATTCCATCCAAATTCAGCTGTGTTACATTCATTATATATATGCTGTAGTATCACGGAAGTTGTATTCTCATGGCATTTTGATCAGATACTACTTGACAATATTAAAGAAGAAAACAAAGTTTAGATCTTTTATATTACAGTGTCATATCTATTATTGCTTCCAAACTTCTGCAAAGTTTCATCAATGTTATTTTAATTTACTGATTTTGTTATGTGGACTTGAAAGCTTATTGGTTGTAAATTTGGTGAATAGAACACGGGAATTTGTACTTTGGATCTTAACCTTTATTCTTTCCTGGTTTTTTCTCCTCTAGTTAATTTTGTGTTGCTGATAATTTCTTGTGATCATTAATTCTGATGACTTCCGCCGCCTTCCTTTTTGTGGTACAGGCAAGGTAAGCTCATCCTGATAAGAATCCAAATGATCCTCAGGTGGCCGAAAAATTTCAGGCAATTCTATTTACTTCTTTTCTTTATCCGATCGTCTGGCAAGTAGTTACAGAACCAACTAAACTAAAATCCTTGGCAATTTTCTTGATAATGAGGCAATTTTGTCTCTTTCATGACAAAGAGCTTGTTAGAATATACAGTAATTGGGCGAAGCATATCATGTTTTGAGTGATCCAGTGCAAAGAGATGCGTATGATCGAAATGGAAATCATTGCATATCTAAGTCAGTCCATCCATGCCTCAGTAATTGAAGTTCTTCATATAAATAATCGACAAATTTTTTTGATTTTATTTTTTTCTTATGAGAATGCATTTGATCTCATCTTCATGGAACTTTTTGAAGACTACATTGGACATGTAGCTGTGGCTCAACGGGTTCTACTGAATTAGCTGTTGAAAGTGTTAATCCCAACAAAGTACACGATGGACTTAAGGCAAGTATATTATGTCAATTGTGAATATTATCTTCAAAACTAGGATTAAATGTGAAGTTATTCGCTTTTACTTGAAATCTGATTCTATTTTACTTCAGATTGAAGTGCATAATAATGTTATATTCTTCATGAGACCTTGCATATTTGCGTCACAATTTATATTTCACATCTTCGTCTTCAATTAATATAATGCAATCTAATGAAGGCTGTTCAAAGAGAAAGGGAAGAAAAGCTTGCTAGGAAACAAAGATTTTCCATACTGCTATATTCAAGGTGACAAAGAAGGATTCTTCTTGAAGCACTTTGAAGCTGAAGCAGAGCGGCTTTCAAAGCGTTTGGTAGCCAACCAACGGCCTATGTTCCTTTTTTTTTTTCTTTCTATTTTCTGCTCAAAGAAACCACTCAAAAGGGGCATAATATCGAGGAAGGTTGAAAATAGGAGAGAAAAATGAAAATTAATAGAATGAAAATTAATGGGGGCCAAATGGGGGGCTTAAATACAAATTGATTGAACGCAAAAATGAAAATTAGCCATTTATGTTAACATACAACAGTCACAACGAAAATATGGCTTACCCATACATGAACTGATTACACAAAATCCAACAATTTAACGAGAAAAGAAAGTGTTAAACGCGTTCGCCACTTTGTGCCAACAAATCACGAAAATGATCCCACTCGTTAAGCTGCACTTTTGGTGCGTTCATTTCAGCGGCGATTTGTTTGTGTTCGTCCGACAGTTCTACCTCTGCAGCGTCGAGGTCCATCTCAACTCGCGTGAATGCCTCATTGACAACTCCTGCCCATCGGAGGAAGTTGTGGATACCCATAGTCGCCACCACGATTGCGATCTGTACTTTAAAATTGTAGCGCGGTATACGATCCAGTATTTTCCACTGACTTTTTCATACACCGAATGTGGCTTGGGGAGAGATTGGGAGGGGGTTGGAAGTTGAGGAAGTGTGGAAGCTCATTTGCGGCTGAGAAGGAAAATGAAATATAAATGAGATGCGGAGTTTTCTTACATGTAAGCATACAAATCTTAACTGCAAAGTAGTACATGTAAATATACAAAATATAAATGCTCTCTCATCCGACGATCGGAATGACACAAATTATATCCACTCAACGTAACAGATCGAAATCCAAAACCCTTCTAGACAACCGGACAAGGATTCCCAACTCATTCCCCCAATTTCCCTTTTACCACGTGAAATTATATTTATTTTCTCAAAAATGAATGAAATTGGCAAAAAGAACTTAGGAATTTTTGGGTCTGTAAACAATGAATGGAGCTATTTTCCCCCAGGCCTTCCATAATTTGATTTTCGGATATTGCCCCAAAAAAATGCCAGTATATATATATAGACACACACACACACACACACACACACGTACATGGAGACAGAACCAATTTACAATTTTGCAGCAACAATTAATTTCTCGTACAATCGTCATTCATGGCCACACAATTTTGAGCTCAAAATGTAATTTTACTTAACGAGTTTGTGATTCAAGGAGAGAAACAAAGAAAGACAGAAAAATGACACAAGTGTTTCTGCCAAACGTGCAGGCCTTCCATAATTTGATTTTCGGATATTGCCCCAAAAAAATGCCAGTATATATATATAGACACACACACACACACACACACGTACATGGAGACAGAACCAATTTACAATTTTGCAGCAACAATTAATTTCTCGTACAATTGTCATTCATGGCCACACAATTTTGAGCTCAAAATGTAATTTTACTTAACGAGTTTGTGATTCAAGGAGAGAAACAAAGAAAGACAGAAAAATGACACAAGTGTTTCTGCCAAACGTGAAAAAACTACTGCACTAAATTCTTGAACCAAGCTTTGAGATTTCAACCAACAAGTTTCTGTAAAGGAATTGTATGCCACCTTCTCTGACCCTTCATGACCAATAATTGAACAAAAAATAATAATATTTTGACATTTCAAATTTTTGTATCCTAAATGTATATTTGCTCTATGGCACGAGCAGGCGCTGGCTTCTATTGCTATTTTTAACATCTTTTCTGGAACGTATAATGTAATTACAAGTTAATATTAGTTATAAGATCTATTCTTCAGCAATAGCAATTTCTCATAGTGGTAATTCATGACCGTAGAACTATAGAAAAAAGGAGAGATTTCTGACACTAACCGAGGTGAAATATGGATCCAGAGTGCTCTGAACCTGTATGGATTTTTTGGTCATTTTGTCGCCGTCGCTGTCTCTGAAACAGGAAGAAATCATTCGGCCAGTCTGGAAATGCCTTTGCTTTGTGGGAGTGTGGTGGTTTTGGTTGTGAGATGTGGAGAGTAGAAGTGGGAAGCCAGCCACAATATGCTGTAGTTGTCACATTGTTTCATCAGATTTTTTTACAATATTAAATTAGTGAGCACTGTTTCAATGGTCCAATAATTGCTGGTTAGCGTCCCCAAACAAGTGCTAATTTTCTTTTTCTCTTGTTTTTATCGTCTCCTTTTCGCCCTTCTAATAACAATTTCAAGAAATTTTTAAAAAGATCTCCTCAACGCCTTTAAGAAAATTAGAGTGTATTTGATTAACTTTCTTTTTTTAAATATCAATTTTTTTTATCCAAAATTTATATTTATGATGTTTGAATGACAATGTTTCAAAAAAAAATATTTTCAACTTTTAATCATGCGATTATATTTTCCTAAAAAAAAAAAAAATCTTTAGGGTGGGGTAATTTTTATTTTTCAGTTAATT